ATTCAGCGTATTGCGTTTTGATTCATAAAGTGAATAAAGCAATTGCATATATTGTATAAAAAGATCCAGTCACACGTTAAATTTTCAAACTAGTTTAAATACGTTTTAATCTATCATTGTAGAATGAGGTTGTAAGCGTTTGTCTAAAGTCTAAAGTCTAAATATAAATAGTTAACTTTTTTTCTGTTCCAGTTAGATGAATTCTATCTTTTTAATTTAATTTAAATATTAGGCAAAGACGAACAGAACTGCATTTAGTCTATGTGTAATTTGGCTTAACCTGTGGAATAGAGTTTTAAAAAGTTTGAAATTGTAAGAAAAGTTTGAAAAGCCACAAAAGTACGTGATTAATCACGTTCCAATCGGTAAAGCCTAAAGCTTTGTTATTGAGAGTGTTCGCTTGAAAACGACAAATCAATTGTAATATTTTCGAATAAAGTCGTATACGTTTATCATTATTTAATATGTAGTGTAATCTAGTCTAGTATATTGCAATATCTGGACATTCCCACGGCGTAATTTAGCCTAAAGTTACTAAATACGAGCTTTATCTACATAAAAAAATACTATTAAAGTCTAGCCAATTATCTGAAGTTTAATGAAAATTTTGAAAAGAAAGTATGTATTGTTTACAAAAATCATAGCATCGAAAAGATCAACGATCTCATGACTATTGAGATACTTATCTAAGTATTTTTACATGTTAAAAACCTTATTCAAATGTTTTTTTTGTCATATTGCATTATTATGTCCTTAATCGCTTGAAAAAAAAACCGTAATGTGTGTTTTAAACTAAATTTTTAAACGAGAAAATGTAAACTTTACCCAAGAGAAGCCGATGCAAGCTATACCGGCGGACAGCATGTCACCGAGGATGGAAGGGTAGCCGTTGCCCGAGGGAAAGTAGGCGTGGAAGCGCGGATGCTGCCAGTGCGTCAGGCCGGGCATGATCTTGTTTTCCACGTCGCACATCACGTCGTCCCAGCTCTCAGGGTATTCAGGCGCTGAAGATGGCAGCGCGGCCCGAAGGTACCCTGGCTCAACGGATGGAGTCACACGCCGCGACCGAATCGTCGTCATGTAAGTACAAATGTAGTCCACCATTTCTTTTCCTCGTACCCTGAACTCCTCTGTGTCCATTGCGGATTTCTTGTCTTGTAAAGTTTGAAATGAAAACTTTTTAAAATAATAGTATGTGGAAAACTCGTGGCAGTTGTGGCAGTGGTGTCAGCTTGACGACCTCCGGCTGACTCGACAGCCAGCCAACACTCCGCTGGTTGAGAGGTTGCGCGGGGCGGCGGGGCGTTGGGGCGCGGGGCGGAGTCGCGCGGAGCGGGGGCGGGCAGGGCGCTAAGCGTATGTTAGCCCGCGCTTAGTTAGGGGTTAAGAACGGACACAGACTTAGCGATTATACTTAGCTTTCAACAATAAAATATATAAATTACAAGCAAGAACTAAAAATACAATTTTCAAAGACCTCAAAAGATTTCAAGAGGCAATTTTATAACCCGACTGAAAAGGTATCGTTAAAAAACAACAATAAGGTACGTAAATAGATTAAATTAATTTCTATAAAAGCTAACATTATTCGCCCCCGCTTCCGCGTGTAGCTCCGCCAGCACTGTGTGCGCAATCCGACGCCCCTTTGCCACTTCATTCAGTCTTAGTCAGCTGAACTGTTTCCTCTTTACACGAAAATGGGGAGAATGTTCAACTTTAAAAAAAAACAATTGATTTATAAAGTTCGAAATTAGAAAGAGCTTAAGGTGTCCGTCAAATTTTAAATTAGCTAGATGATTCCCACTAGGTCTAAGTCATTATTAAGTTACCGATTTGGGAGATAGCCAAGATTTCAAGTCTCGGGGGAACGTATGCTTGGATTTTGAGAATTTTGGTAAATAAGATGTTATGCTCATGTCGAGAACTATCTAGTTAGTTATTACTTACAATAAATAGTTTTTTTTTTATATTTCGTGTCAAATTCTCTTATACTAAGTACTTACTTCAATAGTACATTAAAAATATTTATTTATAAGCTTAATAATTTATCATTGTCTTTACTTCTATACCTATATGTACCTGTTTCTTATGTACCTAAATACGATTCAAATGTATTTACGCGCGTAAATACAAATCGCCTTTTAATAAAAAAAATGGAGATTCATATAATGGAAAATATTTATTTATAAAAGTAAGTTCAATCACGATTCGGAATCAATTAGTCAAACTTTATCATTTGATTTTTATCTAAAATAGAATTGAATGTCACCATTTAATTTCTCGTAATTATTAACTTTTGTACGAAGACCGTTACCAATAGTAATGTATTAGTAAAATTTTAAAGTAATCATACAAATATGCTATAGATGTCGTCTAATTAGAGTTAATATTTTGGGTCTTCTGCTTTGACGGCTTACACCAGTGCATTTTTCTATTCAAGCTCGTCGCTTTGCCTTTTCTGAGGGTTCCTACTGTCTGAGAAGAGGGTTAACAATAACGTATTGTTATTCAACAATACGTTATTACACAGTACAACAATACACAGATAACTAAATGTTATTGTAAAAAAAGGGTCTTGACAGACGGACGGACGGGCAACAAAGTGATCCTATAAGGGTTCTGTTTTTTTCCTATGAGGTACGGAACCCTAAAAATAATATCAATAGATAATATTTTGAAATTAAAAGTGGGACAGAATTTAAATCATTAATAATTCAATGAAAATTTCAATAAAATAAACGTATAAAGTAGACGGTAAAATGGTGGACTCACTCAAATGGGCAGAAGTGCGCCTCTATGAATATTCATCAGAGAAAGATTATCCTTTGAGTTAACTTTAGAATTTTTCATTATAGGCCAAATGGCTAAGTGCCGGGTAACGCGGGGTGCCTTTGCATTGCTCACCTACAAGTGCCTATGGAATATTTTATTTATGTAATTAGAAAAGGAAAATTCAAATGAATAATACTTTAACTTTATATTCTTTCCTTTTTTCTTTCATTTTAGTTGAATCGAAAGGAATACATTAAAATATGAGTTGTTTTTTATGTAAACCATTGTCTCTGGTGCTGTTTTTTTATAAGCCACTAAGGTCCTCAACTTTTATCAATATAAATATTCCATAGATCCAATGTGCGTGTTATTTATAGTTCGGACACTCGGACACTATTAAATTCAGTCTATAATATGTGCAAACTATTTCGCATCAATGGAGCATTTTTAACATTTTATTCCGTCAATCTTTATAGTGCTATGAATTTGAACATCAAGTTAAGGCATCCTACTCATGAAATACTAACGGAATACGTTTTAAAATACTACTTTATTCGTATAACTGCTAGTTTTAGATACAAATTCCGACATCTTTAAGCTGATCAATGAATCTTTTATTTCTCCAAATAAGAATTGACCTTTCACCTTCCTTGATCTTACCTTAACCCAATAAATTAAGTACTATAGTTATTGAAGTAATTCTAGTCAATAATGTAATAACGTATGATCAACAAGGCCCAAGACCAAATAGTTTGAAATGTGCATTTATTTATCATTCAGTCATTTTTTTTATATACTTCTTTAAAAAAAAAAACACCAGACTGCACAAATCGTTCGTGTATAGGCGGCCTATTGACGTTGTTGAGCGTAGGTTGCGAGGGCGGGCGGCGCGCCGGGAGGTCGCCGCGCTGGAACGCGCATTCCTCCCGCCCCGGAATACCAATGCCATATTATTATGTGTGATCTCTCCCACTGAGCAATATACTTCCACAGGCTGGCTCCATTCTCATCTCACTTCTATGCTAAGTATAACACCCAACACCTTTCACGAAACACGAAGTTGTTTAATATTTAGTTAAAGTTACAAAAATATGTACATTTACATATATAGCAGACCCTATTTTAATATATTTTGATTTGGAATATAATAATAGTTTATTTCAACAGTTATTTTAATGTTTACGTAAATAATACGAAAAAAATCTTACGTACATTAGTAAGAGTCTTTTCACTGGCGATGTATTTTGACAATCACATATTGAGGCAATAGAGCAGTGGCAATAGTATAGGAGGCAGCTCTACGCGTAGAACCTCGTAGACAAGCGTAGCAATCCACCGCTGATAAGTAGTGGTGTAGTACCTATGCTTGTGAACACTAATGTTGAATGCATTTCGTATTTCTTTATCCATTCTCTGAAGACCTAAGTATTTCTATTTAACTTAAAGCAATAATGTATGCGCATGATGTCTGACGCGTGACTGAAGGTTCGCCTCCGCTTCGCCTCAGCGTAGCGCGCTGATCAACTAAAACAATTTAGGCGCTCCTTCCCTAATCGAATTGCTCGCTACGCCCTCCTCCAGCACTGCATTCCGACACAATTATTGAACGCAAATTCATTTACCTTCATCAAGTTATTCCAGTTTCGTTCTTGCGTAAAATATGCTCATTTAACATTGTTTCTCACATGTTAGATAACTGAATTACTTCTTTCAGTCTGCTTAAATAACGTCGTTATAATAGTTTCTGTTATAGGTAACATAGTTTTTAGGGTTAAGTATCTACAGCATGCTGTGTAAGTGACACCACAATTACGTTAAGATGACAGTCTCTAGAGAACTGAAAGCTTCATAGTTCGCGAAGTGTATGTTAGTCATAAAACCTTTTATGTATGTATAGTAGGTTTGTAAGGTTTTAAACTTTGCGTAGGCTTGATCTGTAGCCCGGCCTACTCGAATAATTCTATAGCAAACCCATCGCTATAGAAATTCGATCGAGAAACTTCGATAAAAATAAAGAGATCGCGCGGTAAAAGAAAATAGACTTGTTGAAATCTAATTTCGCGTAACCATAACGAGCAGGCACTCGAAGGCGATGAGCCATCCGCGGCAGACGGCCCGCTCATATCAATTCTTTAATTGAGAAGCCTTCTTCGCTTCGCCGCCTACGAAAAAAATTGGAAATAAAAAACGATCAAGACTTTATATATTTCTTAAAATATTTACTGCTATTGCCTAATAAATCTAGTTATTAAAAATCTATTTAATATCTAAATATTAACTTACAAATGTGTATAGTTCATTTAAGTCCATATTTGGTATACATCATGTCTACTGCCTGGGTTCAATGCCCGAAACCGACTTTTTTATGAAAGAAAGTATTTAGATCGAGGCTTACAAATTAAAAATAATTAGTTTAAAAGAAACTCAATGGAATTAATCAATTACTTCTGATGGTTGTTCAACGTCTGCTACATTAGGGTCCTCTTCGTTTCTCGCTTGGCTTAGAGGATAAGGTCCTTCGTTACAATGGCGGCCGACACATGAGAAATTATCGTAATCGCAATATTCCCCAACAATAGTCTGAAAAAACAATGTACTTGGTAACATTACAAATAATTAATATCGAATTTTATATAGAAAGCATATATTATAATTACGGAATTTGGAAATACAAAATTTTACCCAAACTTTTACTTTACGAAATTATAAAAACACAAATATCTAAAATATTTTCCATAATATCTATGGTAACTTTTTAATTTTACTTTAATTTAGCTTTAGAAGCTTAGGAGACAAGGGAAAATGTCGTAAATGCCTAAAGTATGTTTTTCTTGCTTGGCTTAATTAGTGCTTACTTACTAGTACTTGCTTACCTTGGTAGGATGTTCAGGGTCCGAGTTAGGATTGCAGATGCAACGACAATTGTCCTCTATGCTACTTCCGCAAGAGCATTCCGCGTTCTCTTCAATACTGACTGAAAATAAAAAATACACTATAGAATTTAGCTTTTAGTTTAGTTTAACCAATTCGAAGATATTATTACAGACAATCGTATAATAATATATTTTAAAACGTGTTTGTTACCTTAATAGTTAGCAGAATTAGTAGAATTGTTACTTCTAATCAATAAATTGTTATATTATATTATTTTTATTAAATTAGAATTCATGCACTTACTCTTTTACTTTTTTTTTACACGTACCAACAGAATATAGATTTATAAAAATATTTTTGTACTTACATCCGTTATCTTTGAAATCGATAGTATCATTCTTGCAAAAATCTGTAAAAGTTGGAAGTTCCTTCGAAAAACATCTATTATTAGTCACGCACCAGGAACAATGAGTCAATTTTAAACATTCAACACAAGACTGCTTTATATTGCAAACGAAACGCTCGTCTAAAACAAACGGGTACCGAGTTTTAGCTGTTACTATTGATACAGTAATAAATACAACCCCCAAACTCAAATAAACTAATTTTGTTGTATTAAACATTGTTTTAATTCGACTCTACGATTATAGTTTCCTTTTGCTAGATTGCTTGATAACTATACATAGCCGTGACATGATGTTCGTCTTATATTGAAAACGATAACCTTTGTGGATGATTGCGTAAATATATCTGTTCCCGTTTAAGATTTAATATGTTTACATGTATATTTCGCTCATCAGTACTTCAATGAACTACTTATTGAAGTGACGTATGTTAGATTAAATGCAAGATACATACAGGCATACATGGTGAATATTCAAAGTCTAAATAAATGAATTCCAAAATAGTTCCAGCTGGACAACCTGGGGCCACGGAAGACGAAACCAGGCATTATTATGTGGCAAATAAAGTCTACAAGTTGAAGAAAATATATTGCAATGTGCGGTCCAATGAAACCACTAAAGCCTAAAAAAAAGTTATTCACATTTCGAGTCGATTCTTTATCGACCTTTCCCTTTATGACTAGTCAATACATAAGGTGTAAGAGTGTGGGCCCTATGTACGTATGCGTGTATGATTGATAAGAAATTCATTCACCAATTTTGCTTTTCAAAGTAATACATATGATCGTGATTGTACTGAACTTGTACTTGTTTCAACTATGTATAAATCATCTTAATCTCAACCCTTGTAAAGAATCTATGATAAAATATGATTTAATTGTATGAATGTTTCAGCAGGGAAAAACTAGAAAGGATTTTAGACCTATGCTGCTATATTTGCATAATATGCAAAGGTGTTTAAAAATATTTATCCAAAAAATCGTAAGAAGGGAAACGCTGCTGGAGTTGTTTTCACTTGGTATAATACTTTGGAGATATATCAAATAGTATTAGTGACATCCATTTCTCTAACTGTTTGTTTGATTTCTGTGATTTTCTTTTCGTGGAATTGGATTTAAAAAATCTTTTTAATAAAAAAATCATAATGGCAACATAGCAAAATGTCATTTTATCTATCAACGTCAACCAACTGTCAAACAGAAAGGCTATAATTTATAAGTCAATATAAAATAATTTGTTGATTTTTTATGTTATTTAAGGTTAAAATTGATATTTCACCACTGTGTTCTTGTTTACGTATAAGAAATGGAAAATTATTTCAAAGGTAAAAATGTCGAAGAAGAACTGGAAAGAAATAAAATACCTATAAAGGATCTTCCCACTGATTTTCTTTGGATGCAAGTATGTCTATAGAATGTTATCATATATTGTTTTTTTATAAACGATACATGTTACTAACAAGAACTGTAATGAATGTAGAAATGTAATGCAATGATTGTCCTTAAACTTGTAAACAAAACAAAAGCGATTATGCCTAAATTATCTGTTTTTTTTACATATTCCAGGTCAAAGGAGGTAGCAAGATGAGCAATCTCCTCGCCCATGCATCCGGTATTCTAGAAGACAAAGCAGCGACCTCGGTAGTGTGGACAGGAACTAGAGTTGCCATACCTAAAGCCATATCGTGTGCAGAAATTCTTAAAAGACAATTTTCTATTGAACACCAAGTAACAAAACTTACATATAAAAAGTAAATTAATTAGAATTGCAATTTTCACTAAAAGTTATAGTATTATTATTTATTTATTCCTTTATATTTGTAGAGTTGAAGAGTATTGGGAGCCAAAGATTGATGGACTTGAAAAAATAATAGTGAAAAGAGAAATACCTGTTATTCATATATTTTTATCTATTAATGAAATTCAAGACCAAAATCAAATAGGGTATGTTCTGTTATAAAATTTATGGAAACATACTCTTAAACCTTATATTGTCTTAATTATAATTTTGCTATTTCAGTTACCAATCTTTGAAAGGGAAGAAATTTTGGCAAAAAGGACAAACCAGCACTATTAGTAAAAACCAGCAAGCATACAAAACCAAGAAGCCCTTTAAGCATAAAAAGAATCAACTTGAATCATGAGCCTGTTGTAGTTTAATACATTTGCTGTATCAGTGTAATAAACTATGAAGAATATTTTATTTTCCCCACTTTCATACAAACCAGATTCAATAGAGTAAAAATCATCTTGCCTCAAATAAACTAGGTGGACAGGGAATGTTGCTTATTTGAGACAAATTGATTTTTTGTCTTACTTCTAAACTTTTAGTTGATAAGTTTAACTTTATTTCTCTGTATTTTCTATACAGCAAATGTTGAATGCATGATACCAAAGAGGATATGGAGTTTTTAGTAAAACAAAAAGGTATACAGCATAATTTATTTTATTATGAAATAATTTAGAAATAGAAAATTATCATAAAGGTAGAATTAAAAGTTTATTTATATAACTTTATTTTCTTTTTGAATATAAAGTAGTCTTATATTGCCATTATTATAACTTTAAATTAATTTTATTTGTAAATGCAACTGAATCCAATGATTTAGTATTGACAGACTGACAAATTTACAGCCATTTTTGTAAATCTTTATTTCAAAATTTTCTGTAGCTAAATAATAGAATCCAAGTTTGGTTCATGAAATTCAGAACTACTTGAAAGAATAAAAGTATCTCAAACATATTTATCATTAAAGAACTAATGTTTATAAGTATTATAAATAATCACAAGTCATATAAAGTGATTAATATACTACTATTACTATAAAGAAGTAATTTATAATTAAAACTATTAATATATCAAGAAAATACTTAATAGTAAACTCAGATCTAAGCTTCTGATTCACCAATAGTTTGTGCAATTGGTGTTTCATCATCAAGTTTTGGAAGTATTAGAATTTCTTTCGATATTATTGAATACTTTGTAACAAAGTATGTAAATCTCTTGCACAGATGCGTTTCCTTCTCAAAAGCATCAAATATGGCACGGTGATGGAAGTATGCGTGTGAAAAAATTCTATACACCCTCCGGCAAACTGAGCCTAATTTAGCCACTGATGATTCCTTTATGCTGACCCTGAAATATAATTATTTTATGCATTAAAACAAAATGTTATCCCTATAAAATTAATTCAAGATAATCTCTGGTTTAATTCTAGTTTTAGGATAAAGATAATTCATTGGTACTATAATAAATTACAAGTTATAGTATTGTTTTATGCAAAACAAACAATGTCTTTGTCTGCCTCAGAAAAATTTATTCACTTAAAATTTGCCAACCAGGAGTCATATAGTGCTTAAGGGATTAATACTTGTTTGAAAATAATGTATACTTTTAATATATTAATTTTTACCTGCTTGGAAAGTATTTGTTACTGTTGAGTAGACATGCAGCACCATCCAGTGTGTGCCGTGTATAATCTATGGCAGGACACTCCTTAGGTGTCTTATGAGCAGCACACAGGAAAATCCACTGTTCTGTTGCAGTCATTTGTGTACAAGTTTCTGGTTTACATTCACTCTGTAACCGGACTGCTAGTCCGTTCAACTCCATACAAAATTGCCTAAAATCAGACACAGATACGTTTTACGATTGTATCTTGTATTTTATAATAATTTTCTAAAATGATGTTCCTCTAACACAAATTTACCTCAAATGCTCATATTTCCATACACCTTCATCTTGGGCCTCTGGCATCTTTAAGATAGCTTCTAAATTAGCAGGGTCACGTCGAATAGTTTGTTGAATGAATTGCTGTACAGCTAAGGTACTGTCCATTTCTTCAAATGGTTCATCGGGCCAACGACAGAAATCCTGAAATTTCATTCCTTTTTTTAATGAGTATAATAGTTGCAAGTAAATAGATAATCTATGAAAATTTTTAAGACCTTTGCTCTGGAACCGGGTTGGTTTCGTCTAAGTATTTGGGTTCCATCAGCCATATTTGTAAATTATTCAACACAAGTAGACAAGAGTTAAATAACAAAGTATTAAAAATTATACGTGCAAAGCAGATTTATTAATACTGCTTATAAATATTTATATTCTAATCTTACTAAAATCTAATTGAATTCAATTTAAAGATCAATAAAATTTATTAGAAATAGAAAAACGGTGACAACTGACAATTCCATTTATAATGACAATCGGCAATCAAAGAGTTGTTGCAAGGTAAATTGGCAAACAGAACAACGTACAAAAAAAGTCAAAAATGATAAATTGCCGAACTATTCGGCATAAAGAACATTTGGATAAAATTATTTACAGTTATCAAAATTAAACAAGAATAACATTCCTGTCCCAATTATAATCCTTAATTTGTATCTGTTTGTCGTTTTAATATCTATGACTCTGTATCCGTTGACAGTGACAGTTGGGTGACAAGACCATGTTTTCATAATAAAGTAAATGAATATTGAAAAGGTGAAAATAAACTTTGTATCGTTTGCATTGCAAAGAAAGATAGCTTATTAGTAAAGTTTCTCATAGCTTTTCTTCGTTATAGTTAATAATTGAGTGCATCATGTTGTATCTAATAATTTTAATGTTGACTTTTAAATATTCATATTGTTCTTCAGTAGTGGATATGACAACGAGTTCATTTGGTAGAAGTAACAATGGTTTCATCGCTGCATTTGGTGACTTTAACTCTGACGAATTAACTGACGCTTTTATAATAAATGGTTCAAATATTGAAGTGCTTTTAGCTTACGATAAGGAACCGTTTTTGCGACCCTCATCTTTTGTTTGTTCTTTTAATGACATTGTGATAACGAGCATAGTGCCAGGTGACTATGATGGAGATGCTTACATGGACATACTGTTTACGACACAGATTCAAAATGCTACATCTAATTCACATGAAGTTCGAATTTTGTGGGGAGGAGCACCCACCTTGAATTGTTCAGATGCGCTTTCGGTCAAAGCTACAACAATAGGTCAGCCATTAATTTTAGATTATAATCGTGACATGATATTAGATTTGTTTGGCATCAATTCCAATAAGGAAAGAGTATTTTGGATTTTTGATAAAACCAGATTAAATCCAAGTGAAATTCCAATGAGCAAAGATTTGCTTAAAGAAATAAAACTCCCACACTCACATTCATTTTTGGATGTTAATGATGATAATGCTGCTGATCTCTTGGTCACAACTAAGGTGGATATTGAAGTTTGGTTTAATGAAGAAGTTGGTGGATTTACTTACAACTACAGTATTGAGTTATTGGTAGGACATCCTGTAATATATGGCCAAGCTTTGTTTACAGATGTTGCTTTGTCAGGACAATTCTATGTAGTAATACCTGTTTGCTATGATATAGAATGTTTTAATAGCACCATACTAATTTATGACAACCAACAATGGCATGATCTTCAAGTAGATTTTAATGATGGCAAGGGTACTTTGTGGCGATTCACTCCTCCACGAGATGAAATATATTTAGACACTATAACAATGAGAAGTGGTGATTATAATATGGATGGATATCCAGACATTCTGATGACCCTAAGTCCAGTGAACAGCCAGGAAACTGCAGTTTTTCTATTGCATAATGTACCATGCAACTCAGTGGGTTGTAAATTTTCCAGAACATTTCAAGTGCAGTGGGATAAATTTGATACATTTGGTAAAAATGTTGTGATGGCAACATTTTACGATTTTTACATGGATGGTGTTCTTGATATTATATATATTAAAAAGAATACAACTTTGCAATCATATACAATGAATGCATTCAAAAATGAATTGGAATATGATACTAATTTTATAAAGGTTATTGTTGTAACTGGGCTCAGTAATAAAAATATACCTGTGATTAATGGAACTTTGTACAATAGAAAAGTAACTTTTGGTAAGTATTTTGACTATTAATTTCATAATAATAATTACTTTTAGGAAGAAGTAAGGATTTTGTAATGTTTTCCCTGATTTTGAAAATTACTGTTATCTAGATCTAAATATTCATATTCTATGCCTAAATGTTTCTTAAAATGAATGAATCGGAATGTACTAAATACTAATATAAAATATTTTTTAGGAACAAACTTGCCAGGACCCAAAATTGGCTACAACACTTGGTCTCAAGAAAGTACCTACAGGACAGGAGTGTGTGCACAACTTTCACAGTCCGCTTATTTTGCTTTGCAACTTCCATACTCTATATTCGGACTGGATAGGACACCAAATTTTGTAGACACACTTAATGTTGGTCTATCAGGATACTCCAAAAGCTGGACTCAAATAATACCCAACTCACAAATAGTTGTCATTCCAGCGCCACCAAATGATCCATCACAATGGCGAGCTCAACTATTTGTTACACCCAGTAAAGTTATATTGAAAAGTGTTTTTGTGTTGACTGCTATTATTGTTATTATAACAGCTTGTGTTTTATATTTACATTGGAAAGAAAGGAACGATAGACAAGATATTATAGAAATTGACGAAAAGACATATGTGAAGATATAGATTTAACATTGACTTCTTATTAATGTGATATTATTAAATATTGTGATTTAAATAAGACATCAACTATGTTTGAGCTGTCTAAAAATCTATATTGCATATTTACTGTGAGTTTCCGCTGCCGTTAAAACTGAGCAAAAACATTGTCGTCTTTGACATTGTAACAATTTTTTTCATAAAAGTAAACACTGTTGTCCCTCACAGTAAAAGATTGAAGTGCCTTTAGACATAGTAGATGTTTGTTTAGCTAGGATTAGTTATGAATTATGATAATTATATTTATCCAACTAGTCTGTGATTGTTTTATATTTCATGTTATCAATATGTATTCATTAGAAATCATAAAAATATTATAATAAACTAGCTGTCGCCCGCGACTCCGTCCGTGCGGGATAAAAAAAAATAGATAGTAGTCGATTCTTAGACCTACCCAATATACTCATAAAATTTCATGAGAATCTCTCAAGCCGTTTCGGAGGAGTATGGGAACGAAAATTGTGACACGAGAATTTTATATATAATATTTTTGGAAAAATTCTCAGGAATAAGAGCTAAATTTACACTTTATAAAACAACTTAGAAACTTGTAAATAATTAGGTTAAAGAAAGTTAAGAATTTTTAATCGTTGTATGTTCTGTAAAATGAGATTCAAAGTGCAGTATGTTTTACTTTATCCTATTTGTTACAAGTAAATCTCTCCTGAAGCAACTTGCACTATGACAATTTCTCGCCAATGGAACTAGAAAAGCTAAAACTTTTAGTGAATAAAACAATATATTCATAATGATGAAAAAAGTTTTATTGGATGTTAAAATAACAAATTAAACATAAGTTTTGAAATAAATCTGTACTTCTTTTCATTACTTCACCTAATGCTTAGACTTGTGTTTGTGTTTCTTCTCTTTCTTAATCTTTTTCTTTTCCATCTTCTCTAATTTCCTGAAGAAAAAAAAAAGGTTATTTAAAAGCAAATTTTTATATTTTACAGTTACTTGTAAACTTATCTGGCTGGATAAAAACGACCAATGTACACTTACTTTAATAATTTCTTCTTTTGTTTCTTAGTTAACTGACTGATGAGATCTATTTCAGTTAAACCAGAAGGGTCATCATCATCTATCTTAGTTGCAGCCAGGGGTAGTGCTCCTGGCTTCATAACCAAGCCTGTATCTCGCATCTGCTGCATCAATGTAGGTACATCAGGCTTTTCTTCCTCTTCTTCCTGAGTGGATGATGATGCGGCTTGCAGGGCTCGAGCCTCACTCATTGATAGAGAGTACATTGAACATTCTTTGTCTGTGAAAGGTATATTTGCAAAAGTTTAGTAAGTCAAATTTTTTTTAAATATCAATCAATCAAGATGAAAACTTACCAGTGTTTATGTGACCCCACTTATGACATTTAATACACCTGACATTTCTAACCAGTATTCCAAAAGGTTGATCTCGAATCTCATTGTCTCCTTTGCAGTAGCTCTCTCTAGGGGCATTGTATTTGCGCTGCCACTCAAATTTGTATTCAGGCTCATTGTCCTCCCTCTCTCTTTCTTTTTTAACTCCAGGAGGAGGCTCATACATGAAATTTAAACTTAGTTTGTCTTTACTGTCCTTACTCAGCAATGCTCTGGGAATTAAAATAGAGATTTAATAATAGTAATTAAAGAAATAAGTATTATGTATGCTAATATTATAAAGAGGAAAGATTGATTTATTTGTTTGTACACTAAATAGACTTCGATGCCACTGAACCAATTAGAAAAATTCTTCCACTATCCTAGGGAGACATAGGTAACATTACTTATATATTGAAATAAAGTTGTGGGCAACTACTTATTATGCTGGATATAAAGTATGGTTTTAGATTTTTTTCCTTGATTATGATTTGAAGGTTTGCACTTATTATTAATTAAACTTTGAATTTAAAAAGGTGAACATACTTATTTTCGTGAAGTTCCTGCTCTTTTTCATACTGAACACGCAATTCTTCCTGTTTTTTCTTATATGCATCAGTTTTTTGTTCTGCCATCCATACCTAAAACGAAAATATAAAAAACAAAATGTTTAAAAACATCAGCTGTTTGTTATCATGCGCAATAAGCGACATAAAATGGCCGCCGACCGTACAGAAATCAAATTGTTTTTAAGTTTAATTTACTTTAGTGATGTAATGGATTAGTATAATTTGTGTATGATTTACATAATAATACGTAAACTACTTACTCTTTTTAAGTTGTCCCTGGATGCTGGATGGAAGAATTTCTTGCACATATAATTATTAAAACCTTTCCCCATTTTTGGACCTTTTCTTGACAACTATTGTATCTAATAATAAGACGATCACTTCAGCTTAGTCACTTTATAAAATTAATTAATTTAACGATTTCTTCAGCGTGAAAAGACGAAATACCTAACAGCTAACAGAAAAATATTATTTTATTTTGTACATTTGTCATGTGTCAAATGCCCTCAACTTCAATGTCATTTTGAGTTTTGCTTTGGAATTTTGCCATAAGGCACAAGGCTATTAGTTGTTCAGTCGTGACTGAAAAATTAAGTTAATATAATTTTATTTCTTATAGGCTTTGGTTGGGCAATTGGATCACTTGTTACCTTCATAATAATAGGAGAATTACTACATTGGAATAGAGACACCAACTTCGAGGAGTAACTCAATAAATGGCCAACAAACTTTGTACCTAAAATAAAATCAACGAATTCTATTTTTCACAATTTGGTTTCTTTTTTGGGAAATCAATATTTCACATCGATAATGAAGGAATACTCTGGTGATTTTTTTTTCAAATTTCGTACTAATATTTTTTATACATCTGTGGACCTTTTTTTCTTTATGTAGTTTCTTAAGATTACATAATCTGTATTGTAGTCAATGGCAACACTGAAATTGCGTTTCTATCGTTTATTTTATTGCAAGTGATGTTTGTCCTTGTTAAATGGTGCTAGTGATAAATAAGTTCCGAAAGATTAGGTGCAATTTGTGCAAAACTTTCTAGTGATACAAATATACACTTGATTACAATAATTAAGTTGAAAGTACAATAACATGTATAAATGTTTTCTGTTGCAAGAGAAACTAAAATATACGTTATAAATTTGCCTATGTAATAAGTTGGTACAATTTTCTACTTATATTCTTGTAATTTTATATGCTTGTATCTTCCCATATTTTATAAACGTTAATACGTATCCTACTTCGGCAGTGGCACAGTGCATGTTAATCCAGATTCGCGATCCACATTTTGCTCATTGTCATCATTGTGTTGCTTTATGTTTTAACACATTCATACCGTTTTATCGTGTCGAAGTATTTTTAGAATCCGATCCGACGGTGGTTGTAGACTTTGATGTCTTTGTAAACATGATATTATTGTAAATACTTAGCCCGTCTTTATTATGGTCAAGTGAAATAGTTTTGTGGAATTTATTTGAAGATACTGAATTAATTATACAATTGTGATGAAAGTTTTTATTGTTTATGAAGAATATAGCGAACACATTCAAAGCTGATAATCTGGTGTTTATGGTAAGTAAAAACTATGTAATACATTCGTAAACAAAATTAAATCTTTACATGTTTCTATTGCCACTGGTGTATCACTATTTATACTATACATTTATTTTAATTTAACTTATAATACATATTGCATGCATGATGTTTTGCACAGTTCTATAAAGTGTGTGGGATAAAGATAAGACTATGTGTATTAAACATAAAGGTACAAATTGTTTTATAAGCTCCTTTTAACATATTAATCAAATAAAAGAAAGTAGGTGCCAAAAACAGGACTTAAACTTAAATATATGACTTTGATGGTGCGTAACTAATTTAGTAATAATAATAAAGTAATATAAACACTTTAATTTTTTAAATCATATTTAATCTTAATATTGCTTTTTACAATTATGATTTATCTGTGTTTCCCAAATAATTTATTATATACATATCTCTCCAGGATAAGAAACTTAGATGTAAGTCCTGGGTAAGTCGAAACTATTGCTAAGAAGGTATAATTTTAAGACTTTTTGGTAAAATTATAGAAACAACTTTTACAAAATTTATAAAAAAAACAAATGTTTGTTGCAGTTTCCTGTTCAATATGTATGTTATGAATTTTAATGTATTTAGTACTAGTTAAATATAAAATCAAAGAATCAAATTTGATTCCCACTTATATTGTTGCATGTTGTACTTTCACCATAGGATGATTTTACATATTGATAAAAAGTTTTAATTATTGTAAGAAAAAACTTTGACCTGAAAATCGGGTGTTACTTATTGGTTTAAGTTGTTTAAATAATATTTAGAAAGGATTAGTTGTATAACTTATGTAAACAAAATTTAGGTAAACAGTATGCGAAGAGAAAATTCTAACCCTTTTTATAAAAAACAGCTCAAACTGTGAATGGAAAAGTACATAAGGCTATATTTAATCAAAAATAAAAATTCTTTAATATGAATTATAGTCATATTCCAACATAGAGGCAACCACGAGTATAAATAAATAAGTGGTAGAGCTTTAACATCTTCGCACGAATTGTCCTGGCTTGCCCGGTGTAATACCACAACCACACAGAAGACAGGCGTGAAGTGGAAGCAATTCCGCGTTTCGTCTGATCCACTTTCCCTTGTGCATCCTCTCCTTCATAGATTAGAGGCAATGCATATGCAATTGAGTATGTCTATGGGCAATGGTCACTTTGCTATTTCAGAGATTTCATGCGGCCACTCGGTCATTTGCCACCTTATAATATAAAAATAAAAAAAAATTTACCAGTGCTAATTCTATACACATAAAAAAACTTGTATTATCTTCAGTTGATATGTTAAGTCATCATATAACAAGGGTGTTATTGTCAGTATGGTGGGGGCGGTAAGGGGTGGTCGTTTTTTATTATCTTAGGTGGTGGGTGTGGTCGGGAGTGGCAGAACAAACATCTAAACGTCGGGATCGATACGATCGCGGACAATTCCGTTTCTGTGTATCAATCAGATACAAGTAAAATCATTTTTGTATTTTTTCAATAATCATTTTTCTATAGAGTTTTTAATATCAGGAGGATAATAATTATTTAATGTTAAGCATAGCCATTGTTGTTTTGTCACCTCTATTATTACTTAAGATTCTAAAAGGCTATCACCACTCCACCCTTAGTTATTAAGGGCATCCTTTAGTGTAGATTTTGTATGAGAGATTACAATACATAATAATAGCAAGTACAAATTTTCTAAAAACAATGTTTGACATGCATGTATTTTACATGAGTACTTAGACCACAATCACTGTAGGCCTAACTATATACCATTTTAGAATTTTAGCTAAATTTGTAATGTGCTTGACATACGAATAACTAGCTTTTGCCTGCGACTTTCTCTGCGCAGAATTACAAAAAAAAAGCGAAAAGTGTCTCATGCATTACTCAAGATGATGTTCTATTTATATCTGTGCCAAATTTCAATAACATGTGTTGAACTATTGCATAGTTGTCAAGAAAATATGTAAATCAACTGTTTTTCACAAAAACCATCCACATTTGCTGGATCATAGGCAGCCTATGTGTCCTTCCAGACTGTGTTATACATTTATATAATACCAAATTTTATCGAGATTCATGCCGGCGTTTTGTAGAGACCTTCTTACAAACATGAATCTATCCATCCATACATCCAAACATTCGCATTTATATTAGTAAGCTTCTCTCTCGATAATGT